CAGGTAGCTCTCGTAGGGTGGGTCGCGCAGGGCAGATGCGGGTAGGCCGCCTAGGGGTACATCCGCTACTGTAGGTCGGTAAACAACGCTAGGCCACGCGGGGTGGGCCTCATAGGTGAACTACGTCCCGTAGTGCAGGCAGGTGCATCCGGTAGTCCAGGTACATTGCGTAGGTTTCCATTTTTTTTTTATTTTTTTATTTTTTTTTAATTTTTTTCTCTCCCCCAACGGCCAAGTTCAAATCCAGTATTGCGGCCGAATGTGCAAAATGGAGCATGGGAGCGCTGGTACCGGGCGAATAGCGGTAGCGCTCCGGTAACAGCGCCGCTACTCGCCTTACTGCGGGTAGCGCTGTTTACCTGCGGACCCCGCCGCCATGACGGGGAGCAGGACAACGGACATGCCCGCGTTCCTTTCGGAGGCGGAGACTACGTCTCGAGGCATCGTCTTCTTCAAGCAGTCCATAGCCAATTAGGGTAGGACCACATCACATTGATCTCATAGAGGAAGCTCGTCGAGAAGAAAGGCGGAAGTACAAGGAGAGGAGGGGTAGACACAACTGGGGAGTAAAGGCTGGAGCACCCTGAATGGAACCTAATTACCACAGTAACTCAGACTGAGTGCGCCACCACAGAATTACCGACCCAGCAATCGTGATAATCCAATTGAGACGGGGTCCTTGTCTTATGTCCGGGAAACTCATGCGCTCGCACTGTGTCCGAGTAGAGAAACGACCGGTCGCGGTGACGGGGGGTGAAATGGTAGACCCGTCGCCCCCAACAAAGGGGAGGTAACGGAATAGCAGGGTAAAACGAGAGGAGGGAGGTATGGAGACGATACATTACACAACCAACGGGGGATAGAGGCGTGGCTGAGTCCGCCCACATGCGATAGACCACGAGGAGGAAGGTCAATTTGCGCCGAGTGGGCTAGGGAAGGTGATAGAAAGATAGAGTTTCCGAAGCAAGGAAGGCGGAATGTAATCAGGTTTCCCGATCCCCGGTGCTGATTTCCACAGCGAGGAGCAAACTTTCGACTGTAATTGGAAGAGTCGTGGCACCAGCGTGGCAGGGTCCGTAGAGAAGCGGGGTGGGAAGGCCGTTCGATAAGTAGTGTTGCAGCAAAAACGATCGATTGAAGATCCGGAAAGGTCGGGTTTCGCCCACCCCCTCGACCAGACCGAGGAAGCGAGTCAAGTGTCAATAAGAGAAGCATGTGCACACCTGATCGTACGAAAAGGGAAGAGCGCTCTGCCCTTAACACGTTTACAGCACTATAGTAGGGAGGGTGGCATAAGCGGGGACTGTCGGCTGATCGGTGGATCTGGCGGGAAAGAATCGAGGGCGCAAGCAAGAGGAAGGACTGGGTTAGGCTAGACACAGGAAAACGAAAATTTTGAGTCCCAGCAGGTCCGGGAGGCGAGTTTGAGCGAGGAAGGGAGTACAGGAGTTCGACAACAAAGAAAGGATTCGCGGGTACACTGGAAACAAGGGCGGTGTGGTGAGGTCTACTCGGGCAGTGCCAACACACGTCGAAAGGATACTCGGCAAATCGTGATTTTAAGCTTTGGTCTGTCGGAATATGGACAGAGCTACGGGGAATGATGAACCGGGTAATAGTACAGGGAGATATGTCCCCCCGATACGTCGTGCAGGGAATAGCTCACAGTATCAAGGGGTGGGGTCGGGACGGACGCAACCTAATGTGCCAGGTCGGCAGGATCCAGTAGCTCAATCAAGCAAACATCTGGATATTTCTCTACTCGAGATTCAGTAGGTCGGTGCTATGATGAAGGAATTTGCCTCGAGGACCTGGATCTAGGCGAAGTGATTGAAGATGAGGGAGGTAAAAGATTTGTAGTTAACGAGGCAGTGGATAGCATCAAGGAGAGCTGGCTCAAAGAGAGAACTGTAATCATGGTCTTCCAGGAAGAAGCGAGATTCTTATCGAGACAAGTGAAAGAGGACCTGGTCAGGGCATACGAGGAAGGGTGGATGACACAGAAAATCTTCAATCCAGAAACAAGGAGGGGTAGAATCCGCTTTGAGGGCCAAAACGTTATCTCGTACGTCGCCAAGGCTAAGGAGGTGGCTAAGTGGTTGCTGAAAAGGGGTGAAGAAAAACTGAAGTTGGGTTCGAAAGAGTACCTAACGATGTTCAAGCCATGGATGCCGCGCCAAGAGATACGAGATTTGAGACTGCAAGAGGCAGAGTCCAAATTCTGGATCGTGGCCCTGCGTGTACAGCTTGATGCCTACTACTATCTGCCGAGTGCAGTCAGGGGCGTGTTCGGGGAGATACGGGCGGTGCACCCTCAGGATTTTGACAAGACACGGCCTAAACTGATGAATGTCAAGATAGACATGCATCCAGATACGAGATTCAACGTGGACGATGTCCTCGTGATCGAATCTCCCAGAGGGGAAAGGTGGACAGTGGAGATCGCTACGCCATACACGGACTGGTGCAGAAAGTGTAAATGGTACTTTCACACGGAGGAGAACTGTCCGAGATTGAGACAAGAGGAGGGGGGGTGGAAGGAAGGGGGGCAAAGAGTTGGAGGCCATAGAGAACGGTTCCAGCAACACCTACGAAGCAGGAATCAACCAGCAGGAGGAGAGTCAGGCGCAGCAGTGGGACAGCAGCACAGATCGCAAGGTAATCAAGAGGGCCCCAGACAAGAACCTAGACAAGTGCCATCAACTCAACAGTCAAACAGCCGGATCAAGCGGGGCGTGGCGCAAGTCAGATAGGCTTCATGGCCAATCGTGATGACCTCCGGTGGGGTCCTCACAACACAAGAGTGGAAGAGTACGGAGGTCAAGAGTCACAGGTCTGGGCGCACAGAGACTTGCACCAGCAAGGGCACGCTAGAGCCTCTGCACACACTAGAAGCAGGGACTGGAGGAACGGAACATACCCGGCCCCGACGCCCCTGGGGGCTCCGTGGCTCCATCGAAGGGACTGGCCAATCACCTCAATTCCAGGGATCCCAGACTCCTCTGGGGCGGACAGAGAACCTGATTGGAGATGAAACGGTCCAAGATGGCCAAACCAAGATGGGTACAAGGCGGCGATGCAACGACCGATGGAGGAGTACGGTGCCCAACAAGATCTTCAACAAGACTGGCAGAGCAGGATGGGAGGGAGTTACTACCCCCCTCTGGTTTTACCCGAGCAGCATTACCAAGCTCCCGCTTTTCCCCTTGGACACCCGCAGGCCCAGTATCCAACAACCTCCTACGATTGGAGGCCATGGGCCCAGCAGCAGTCGCAGTTTGGACCAGATCAACCGGATCGGTCAGGGAGGCAGGATCATTCGGTGGCCAGGGAAGGAGGAGGCCACGGTGGTCAGCAGGAGGGACTGGTGGGAAGACGAAGAAGGAACGGGGAGACGTGGAGGGGTTGGGTTGAAGAAGAAACAAGGAGGCAGCAAGACACAGAACCAGACGGGGGAAGATTGCATAACAGTAATAGAGCAACCCAGAGGTGGGGGGACGAGGAGGGTGATGACAGCAGTCTCAGAAGACAGACTGCAGGAGCGCAAATCGACACAATTCAGGAAGAACTCTCCAAAACTTCAATCTCCTCTCAATCACGAGTCTGCATGGACAGCGAAGCGGGAGTGAATTGTTTTGGGAGTGAGCATTCCTCATCCTCGATGGGAAGTTCAGCGAACTCAAGGGCGCGACCGGAAGCGGTAAGGGGCACAACTCCCGGACTGCGGGAGTCTCGAAATTGCAGAGCCGACACAGTGCACAGAAACCAAGCAGAGACTGTCAAACAGAGGATTGTGCCGTCGGTGTGTACTCAAGCACGAGACGGGGCGTACTTCCTGGCATTGTCCGACAGGGCGGGCGGGTTGTACATCCCGTCAGAAGAAGTAGAGAAGGCGCCAACTCTAGCTACGATATTGCTGGCGACAAGGAGGCTGTATGGGGACCACATCCCTGTGCCCATCATCCCTAAATCCTCCATGATAAATCTCATCTGTAAAACCTCTCAAGGGTTTCACAAATTCTACTTTCCGCTTGATGCACGGATTCCATCAGACTCGGCAGAAGCCCTGACGCAAACGGGGGTCCGCTGACACAACATCAATGTGATAAGAGAGAGAAGTGCTCAAGAACTGGAGCAGATCGGAGTTTTCCACGAAATCAGTGCTCTGATGTTGCTTAATGTGAACGAGAAACTCCCAGCTGAAGAGAGTCTGCACTCAGACTTCATGATTTCAATGTTGAACAGGGACTGGCCAACCAGCTCTCAAGCATCAACCTAACGAGGCACCTCTCGCAGAAGCATTCGGTCAAGCTCGATGCCGCAGGCGAAAACACCAGGGGGCGCAGCGAACCAAGATCAACTCCAAATGGAACAGAGGGACCTCAACCGCATCCAACAACAAGCGGTCACTCAGCTAGCTCATGGATAGGCTAAAGATAGCTTCTTGGAACGTGCGAGGGCTAGGCGATACTAGAGGGAGATTCAAGAGAAGAAGGTTGAAAGGCTGGATGCATGAATGGAGAATCAACTGCATGTTAATTCAAGAAACCAAGTTGGATGAGGGTAAACTGATAGACTTAAGAAATTGGTGGGATAGCCTACAAATCTGGGCCCCGGCGCGGGGTACAAAAGGTGGAGTGGGTATCCTACTGCACAAGGAACTGCTGATGTGTGTGATCGATGCAGAAGCTGACATATGGGGCCGATGGGCGTGGTTCAGGCTAGAGGCAGGTGGGGAAGAATGGGTAATTATGACGGTTTACGCTCCAACGGAGGCAGGGGAAAGAGCCAGGTTCTTCACCAACCTGAGTCTAAATATCCCAAAGTTAGACAATCTGCTCATCGCGGGGGACTGGAACCTGACGTTGGACGAAGCTCTGAAACCGGAATCAAAAATTGCAGACAGGAAAGATGTACGGGCCCTGCTGACACTGGCGGAAGAGTTAAACCTCGCTGACCCCTACAGGATCCTGTCCCCTGACGGCCCAGGTTACACCTGGCAGTCCCACTTGCAGCGTCAAAGGGGAGGGCAAGGGAGAGGGGTGACCAGGCGAAGACTGAATTACTTCCTTACCGCCGCCACAATTCTGGAAAGATTCACAAGAGTGCAGCAGATCTCTGATCCACTGTCTGACCACAAACCGGTGATGGCGAGCATCAAACTGCAAATAAGCAGCGAACGGGGAAGGGGGTTCTTCAGACTGAACTCCCAGATCTTGGACGACCTTGGTCTCCGGGACTGGGTAGGGCAGCATATGAGGGATTGGGCGAGGGCCAGACACCTGTTCCAGTCCGCAGAGGACTGGGCGGATGGAGGCATTGCCATTGTGTCAGGAATGCTTGATGTCTGTTCCAGGATCATGGCCAAGGCCAGGAACCAAAAAGAAGCGGAGTGCAAGCGGAAGGTGGAGGAGGCGGAGGCGAGAATGGAGGAACACCCAATCTCAGCTCTCACTTGGGCTGCTGAGAGGGAGAGGAGGTTAGCAGTGTGGGAGGATCTGCAAATGGAGAAGGAGAGACGGTGGACCGACTTGTTGAAAGAAAAAGGCATTGAAACAAGCAACAAGATGAATAAAGAAACGTTTCAGAGGCTCCTACCCCGACGCTCGATGCAGCAAATGGTTGAATTGAAGCACCCTTTCAACGAAACAGCGCCAACGGCCTCAACAGCTTCAGGGATGCTAGAGTACGCCAAGTTGTACTATGAGGACATCCTTACCACGCGCAGACCGCAAGATGGTGTGCACACCGACCTCACTGAAGTGTCTGATTTCTGGGAAGACACCCAAGTGAGGATACCTCAGGCAGCAAGACTGGACCTAGACAGGCCTCTCACCTTGGAGGAAACCACCCAAACGCTAAAATCTATGGCGAGGGGTAAGTCCCCAGGGATAGATGGGTTAACTGTGGAGTTCTACGTGAAGTGCTGGGAAGAGATAGGACCACCGCTGGTGGATCTGAACAATGGGGTACTATCAGGAGGAAGGCTGGGGGAGAGGATGACCCATGAGGTAATCTCGGTCCTTTTCAAGAAAGGGGATAAGGCGGAGGTGCGCAACTGGCGTCCGGTTTCCTTGTTGAACGTATCGTACAAAATTCTGGCCAAATCCTTGGCCAGAAGGTTGGGCCGATACTTACTCGAGCTGGTGGAAAACGATCAAGGCGCGTTTGTCCAAGGGCGGTCCATCTTCAACAACATTGTCACCACCATCGAAGTTCTGGAGGTAATACAAGCGGAGAACCTAGACACAACAGTCCTCCTACTCGACTTGGAAAAGGCGTATGATAAGGTTGGTTGGTCGTTTGTCATGACTACCCTCAGGCATATGGGGTTTGGGGAAGGTTTTTGCAATTGGGTGGCTGCACTCTACACCTTCTCCACCTCAGTGGTTATGGTCAACGGCCACCTCTCAAAACCGTTCAGGCTCACAAGATCATTGCCCCAGGGTTGTCCTCTGGCCCCGTTACTCTTCGTGCTACAGATGGAAGTCCTGCTGAACCGCATCGAAAGCACCGGTTGATAAAGGGCATTCAATTGAATGACATGGCGGAGTGCAGAGTAAAGGCGCTGGCGGACGATCTGTTTGCAGTTTGTGAAAACACTGAGTCGGCGATGTCTGCTTTAAAAAGCCTTATGAAGGACTACTCCACCTTATCAGAAGCCTCGGTTAACTGGTCCAAGTCCTCCGTCCTGCTGCTAGCCCAGTTCAGTTTGAGTATGGAATGGGGGATGAGGAGAAAAGAAGAAGGAGAGGAAGAAAGGTTCCTGGGCAAGATGGTGGGCCTTCAAGAAAGTAGTTCCTCACAGGGTTTACTCCTTCAGAGCCGAATCACAGCCAGACTGAATTTGTGGGGGACTGCATGGCATTTATCCCCGATAGGGAGAGCACTCGTGGCAAACGTAGCCCTATTCTCAATCCTCTGGTTCGTCTGCACGGTTAAAGAAATCGCAGTGAGCATCCTCAATGTCGTGCGCAGGCTGGTTGCCCGGTTCCTCTGGAAGCCGCACTCAAAGAAGGAGGAAGGGTTCATTACGAAGGTGGCGTGGGACCTGCTCACTTTCCCCGCGTGCACAAGGTGGTCTGGGGCTATGGGATCCGGCACAGAAGAACCAGGCTCAACTGAGATCCTGGGTGTACAAAGTCGCTGTAGCGGATAACAAAGAGGACTGGGTCATTCTGGGAGAAAGATTACTGATGAGGGAGTGGGGTCTCAGCAGACCGAAGGACGTTTGGGTCGGGTTCTTCATGGACTCCTTCAGAAGGAAACGCCTGAGGTCGCTCTTCTGGAAATCAATTCTGAAAGCGTGGAGGAACCTCCCGCCCGACACACATGCGCCCCGCGGACCAAAGAAGAAGTCCTGGCTCAACATCTCTTTGAGAACCCCCGAATATGCACGCAAGAGGGGACTGTATTTCTTGCAGATGGATCTGCAGGGACGTTCGGACTCGCCTGGATGCGGAGAGGAATTACCAGAATCAGGGACATTTGGTCCTCCTTGCTGGGAAGTTGGAAAACGTGCGAGGAGATCAGAGCGGACCTTAACGGTCTCAGACGGGTGGAGGAGAACTGGAACTCGCTGCGTAATGCTATCCCCCAGGACTGGTGCGACATTCTAGGTCCGGAGAAAGTAGACCCAACGGGTACCTAGTATGTCGCAAATGGTCAGGAGGAGGGAAACGTTGTATGGAAGATGACAGGGATCCTGCAAAGCGGTTTCAGATTGGTGGAAAGATGGCAATGTGAGGGTCAAGAGGGAAAGTTGAGGCTGTTAGGTAGTGACACGGTCCAAAGGTGGGGGAACCCGCCTCAAATCCGGGTTGTGGAGAGACAGGAGATCGGGAACCCTCTGAAAGTTTTCATCTGGATAGGCAAGACCTCACTCAGGCAACTGCGGATTGACCCAGTTGCTTGGAGCTGGAACAAGCCGTCCCCAAGGGGCCAGACAACTCACTAACTGTCTCTGCTGGATTACAATTCAAGAGAAGGATACAACCTCGCACGTAAAGTTACCAGATCACCGGCGACAGTGGCCGTTTCCAGATGGACAACAGTGTTGGGCACCGAGCTTCTGCTGACAGAAGATAACTTTGGCAACTTGTGGGAAACCCTGTGTGGCTTGTCGAACGACAGACAAGTGAGCATCCTCTGGTTGTTGTCCTTATTTGTTACACCATCAGCGGTGTGGCTTGTAAGTCGGGGAGTGGAAGTGGACCTGGCCTGTTGCAGATGCCGCTCGCCTTTCGAATCCACAAGGCACCTGTGGTGGGAGTGCCCAGCGTCCAAGCGAGTTTGGAAGTGGGTGGAAACTGCATTGGGAAGAGATGGGAGAAAAGCAGATAGGGTGGGATGAGAGCTGGGTATTGTTGGGCTTCCTTCCCACGGGCATGAGGTGGTCGTCCGGGTGGGGCTACATTGCCCATGTGGTAAGAGGAATAATCTGTGAAGTTGTCTGGTTGGACAGAAACAGGGAGAGGTTTGAGAAACGACCAATGTCGGACGTGGAGATTAAAAGGAAAATCAAAGTGGGCATCAAGCTTGCCATCAAAGTGGATTGGAGGAGAGGGACCAGGGCAGGGAAAAACAGCGAGAAACAGAGAGTCTGGTTCCAACGCACCTGGGCGCGCCATGACAAACTGGCCTCGGTACACCCGATCAATGGACTGGCGACCGCAGATTGGTTAACGGAATAGAGAATAGAAGCCAGGCCAGCAGACCTTGTCAGTAGAGTAGTAGAACCAGGGTACTCGGTTCAATAGGGCCGCGGTGGGCCAGTACTAGAGTCCTAGTAGGACCAGGACGATGTCCTTCTGGGCCGAATTAGTCCCAGAAGTAGTTTTTCCAAGAAGAATCAAGTGTTATGGAGCTGATGTGTGAACAATAGAGCTACAGGAGTCTTTGGGGAAGAGAGTCAGGCTGTATCAGGTCAGGACAAGAAACGGGGAATTGGTCTTTCCATGAGATGGGTAGAAAAACATTCAAGTAACAGAGTAGCTTCTTCAATCGGATAGGACCAGATCAGGCAAGTTGAATTCTCAATGTTTAGTAAGTTGTTACAGTTGAACCTGGGACTTGGTAGATGTGAGTTCCGCAGGCGGAAGCCTGTAAGCTAAGCTAGCTGATGCTGTCAGTACCCTCGGGTTGAATTGTGAGGTCCCCAGCCTCGATCTTTGGCTCGATATAATGTTATAATGAGGTTGATTTAAAAAAAAATAAAAATAAAAAAAATCCAGTATTGCGACATGCACTTTCCATGTTCGAGCGGAAGATTCACGCTCGTTTTGCACATTTCACGGCTCGCCACACCACTGTGGAAACGAAAAATGAACGAACGCATCTTCCTGCGGAGAAGGGCAGGATGCATCCGTTGGTATGAATGGCAATGGACGCATCTTACCACTTTCTGCGGCAGATGCATTCTTTCTCTTTTCGTTTCGACAGTGGTGTGGCGAGGCCAATAGAGGCGGCTGAATCTAGAAAAAGAGCACCCCCGCGCCAACGGGCCTTCCAGAGCAACGCAAACCGCAGAGGACGCCGAAAGTCGGCCAAGAGCATCACGCCTCATATCGAGACCACATCCAGAGCAACACAAACCGCAGAGGACGCCGAACCTCTGCCAAGAGCATCGAGACCACATCCATAACAACACAAACCGCAGAGGACGCCTAAAGTCGGCCAAGAGCCTTATATCGAGACCACATCCAGAGCAACACAAACCGCAGAGGACGCCGAACGTCGGTCAAGTGCTTAGAGCCTTATATCGAGACCACATCCAGAGCAACACAAACCGCAGAGGACGCCGAACGTCGGTCGGAGCATCGCGCCTCATATCCCGACCATATCCAGAGCAACACAAACCGCAAAGGACGCCAAACCTCGGCCAAGATTATTGCGCCTCATATCGAGACCACATCCATAGCAACACAAACCGCAGAGGATGCCGAACCTCACCCAAGAGCATCGCGCCTCATATCGAGACCACATCCATCCCAAAAAAACAAAAAGCACAACGCCTCGACACTGCAGAAACACCCCGCACCCCAAATCACAGCGAAATCAGTAGATAGCGCAGAAATCGACGGCGGCAACGCAACACAAACATGAGCGAAGAGCAAAGAGGGCACACACGTGTCGACACAATACCACCCCAGAAAGCCAACATGCCGCAAAAGCAGAGCTCGCAAAAACGTTAAGAAATCGGCTCTCCGGCAACAGCAGCGACAAAGATCAAGATCCTATGGCCCAACGTTCTTCAAAAGAACCGGTTCGGCGCGCAGCGTCACGGGGAGGGCGACTAAGCTTTAGGAGTATGGGGTTGACAAGAGAGCACAAATTATAATCCAATAGCCTTCACACTGTCCCTAACAAAATTAAATAAAAGAGCAGCAAAACAGCAGCAGACAGGTGACCATTGACGCTGAGGGTAAGGGAAATTTGCAAGTTACTTGGACGATATTACAGCACTCCCCCCTGCACCAAGCATCCATTCTCTCTCTCTCTCTCTCTCTCTCTCTCTCTCTCTCTCTCTCTCTCTCTCTCTCTCTCTCTC